GAGTCACGAGCAGATATACGTGCGAGCGGCTCGTTTGAGGACTTATCTCGGCCTCTGGTCTACTGGCTGGTCTTCCTCCCTGTGAGCTTGAACATGGTGCCGTTAGCCTGCTCGCCGCGGGCGACCTCCATTCATGCGTCCAATTTAGACGTCAATGATGCAAATAAAGCATCGGCTCCCCTTAATCGATCATCGTACAGATCCCAAACTTCAAACTGGTTCATCCTTCGCTTGCCACCGTCGTTCGCGTCCTCCTTCTTCTTTTCTCTCGAACGTTAAATTATTAATATCAACGATTTAAGATTAATTATTAATTATTAATGGAAAATTTTAATAAGGGATGATTTTAAAGAGAGGATAATAGAAATTATATATAGGATGCAAAAATTTTTGTTGAACAGGAATTTAATTTTGTATTGATTATAATTTTGTATTAATATCAACGATTTAAGATTAATTACTAATCGAGAAAGAAAAGTTATTATTTTGTGGAAGGAGTATATAGAAATATGCAAAATTGGAAAATTTTAATAAGGGATGATTTTAGGAAGAGGAGAATAAAAATTATTGGAGAGGATGCAAAAATTTTTGTTGAACAATGAGGAATTTAATTTTGTATTGATTATTAATATCAACGATTTAGGATTAATTATTAATCGAGAAAGAAAAGTTATTATTTTGTGGAAGGAATATATAGAAATATGCAGATGGAAAATTTTAATAAGGGATGATTTTAGGGAGAGGATATAATAGAAATATAATAGAAATATATAATGTAATATATATATAATATAATAATAATATATAATATAATATATAACGATTTAAGATTAATTACTAATCGAGAAAGAAAAGTTATTATTTTGTAGAGGGATTATATAAAAATGTAGGTGGAAAATTTTAATAAGGAATGATTTTAGGGAGAGGATAATAGAAATTATATATAGGATGCAAAAATTTTTGTTGAACAGCGAGGAATTTAATTTTGTATTGATTATTAATATCAATATTTAAGATTAATTATTAATCGAGAAAGAAAAGTTATTATTTTGTGGAAGGATTATATAGAAATATGCAGGTAGAAAAGTTTAATAAGGGATGATTTTAAAAAAAGGATAATAGAAATTATATATAGGATGAAACAATTTTTGTTGAACAGCGAGGAATTTAATTTTGTATTTAATAAAGCGAAATTAAGAAAAAAAAGAGAGATTTTTATTCTATTGTATAAATAAAATAAATATCAATTCATAGTTCTTTGCAAATATACTTTAGAATCATTCTTATAATGTCAATTTTAAAATCAATTTTAAAATTTTCATATTAACACATCAACTTGAATATGAAAAATACGAAATTTATAGTATTGTAAATAACGAGAAAATTAAAATTAAAGCTATCAATATTACGTAAAATCTTATAATGTTTGAAAAAAAATACGAAAGTGTCTCGAGCAAATGTTATTCAAATCTTATGAACTTTCGAGAAAATCTTTCGAATCTCGTTCATTCAATCAACCATTATTTTTATACATAGAAACCTAAAAAAAAGAAAGTAAATCAACTAATTAACTCCTCCTCCCAAAAAATAATATATTATACTTTCGACAATTCAATATCAAAATTCGATAACCAATCATCCTTTTCCCCTCCCCCCTCCCATTTTCTATTTTCCGTCACAACAGTGACAATCCCAATTACGTTCGTTATTCCAAGGTGGCAAAGTTCTCATGGCAACAATCCAAGCGTGGATCGCAAGCATTCGCGCGAATGGGGACAGGCGTAAGGAAAAACAGGGACCTGAAAGGGGGGTAACGCCGCGGAGCACGCGAGTATCGTTAGTCGAGGCGTGGCAATTAGGAGCGGGAAAAGTAACGCCGTTGAATCTGGTAATTCATTCAATGGGGCAAGAAAATTTTTTATCGACGGTGCGTCGTCGGTGTCATCAGCGTTGGCCTCGCTCCGCTCCTTCCTAAGAAGTCGTTACCTAATTACCACCCCGTGCCGCTTTGCGGATATATATGTATATATATATATATATATACATATATACTCGTCTACTCTAGGGCTTTACTCGTTTGCAACAGGGAACATTATGGAAAAGAGTGACGTTCCGGCGGAACAAAGGGCCGAGTAAAAAAAGAAAAAGAAAGAAAAAACGGAACGAATCGGTAGATGTCTGTTACCACACGCGTTTCCACGTTTTCAAATTAACATTTCGCGTTGGTGCCGCGTTCGTTATCGTATCTTTAGATCGACTTTGAATCGGCGTTAAGTAGTAATTTAAATTCGATCGAATTAATGGCGGACTAATGACTAAAAGTTGTACTTTTTTTTTTTTATGTTTAAGTGAGGATAATCGCGGTGATGAGATGAATGACTTTTTTTTTTTTTTTGAATTACGTCTATAAATTAAATGATATTTGGCATATTTAATGAATTTGGATGTAATAAATTTTGGAAAAAGAAATATAATTCTTCTAAATAAAAATATAATTTTTTATGTATCTGTAATCCATTTATATCTGTGGATTATGGTATATAAGATATATGGATTTCTATGAAAAAATAATTTAACAAAAATATATTTTTATAGTTTAGTATTACGTTATGTGCAAGTCTAAATTTTTGCAAGTTTTTATATTTTTTGAAAAATTTAAAGATCTACGACTGTTTTGAAAATATAAAAAATAATCTTATGATTATTGATATCCATTTTTAATCAATAATAATTTTTATTATTTGTTTATAATTTCAGTTTTATCATTTTTTATCTGCAAACAATTCGCAAATAATGAAAAATAAAATACAAAATAGATTTGATCAAAATCATTTACAGAAAGAGCAATTCCAAAATATAATTTTTAATAAATAACAATAAATTAATGTATAAATATTTACCTGCTCGATAAATCGATAGATTTTCCAATTGAAATAAAACCATATGATTTCCAATAACCATTGCAAATGTGAGATTGTCCTTAATTTGCATTGAAGAAAATCTTTAATAGTCAAGAGCCATTGTTCCACGAGAGTAGCGATTGCAATTACCTCGCTCGATAGATCATCGAGCAATCCCTCTGGAGAGTTCAAAGGGTAAACGAGAAGAGCGCGTGCATGCATCATGCGCGTTCATAGATTTCGCAGTTCCGGCAGAACCGGCAACAAACGCTCGCATGCATTCCACGTAAGCCCGGAGGAATGAAGTTGTTTGAAGAGTTCTCGCCACGACGAGAGATTTGTAGATCGAAGCCAGGCCCAGCCCAGGCAGAGAAAATATTTTCGTCCTCCATGGAGGGAAACGAAACTTTGGATCATCAGATCCAAAAAAGAAAAAAAAAAAGAAAAAAGAAATAGCCAATAGAAATAATTCGAACGACGTTTCTCGAATCATTCGACTCCACAGCATTCCATGTAAATTGGACACGCGCGCCTGCAGCATGACGAGCTAGAACGAAGCTTCTGGATTCGCTCTGTTGGAAATAAACACCTGCTAATGTCCATTAGTCAATTCTTTTTGGCTACAGATTTTTTTCGGTATCCGTGTGAATGGACACGGTTTAATGATATGGAAGCGAGCGTTGTACTTTTATTATACGCGGGGCAAAATCGGTTCGACACACCGATCGATCGCGTGTTTTTCCGATTATTCACCGCCTCGAGTACTTCTTCCGAAACGAGAGCGGATTAATAAAACGAACGCTACTGTTGGCTGGCTATTCGTCCATTTGGGCGAAAAATGGCCGCCGGACATTTGAATCGATCGAGCCTTGTGGACCGCGCGTACCCGATTCGAGAAAGGAGTGATTTATCAAGAACGGTTTTAAATCATCGCGAGGAGAGAGAGAGAAAAGAATATCG